CGTGTGAAACAGACGACTGGTTCGATAGGACCTCAATTGCGCCATACTTTCTAATCTTGAGTCATGGGAATATCGTTACAAATGTCATAAGCGCAGGAGAAGCAAAGAGTTATACTGAAGTTACAAGTGAAAAAAAAATTCTGGCAATTCATTACATTAGTTTCGAGATAGCAATGATTTATGTTTAAACGCTATTGGACCTCGTCGACGAAAGGGGATTCGAATAATATACACTCTTTTGCAAAAAAAGGACTTTTGCTATCGTGACGAAATTTGGTATGCAAAAACATCTTGATCGAACATGCAAATGATCAAAGTTTCAAGGCAAATGAAAAGAAATTGCGATCATAGCGCGCATTTCTAGTATAATTCGCAAAGTAAAAAACCAGTAACAGAGGCGGAAAACTTATCTTTTTTGGTGCTGCCATTGTAATTCCGTAAAGAAGCAACTAAATACGCCATTACGACCATATCGAAGACCTTACAGACAACTAAACGACTTCAAACGTGGTCACATTGTAGAGTTGCGTGAAGCTAGGTGGTCATACCGAGCAATAGGCCGTCACCTGTACTGCTGTGCAAAGAAGTTGGCAGCAATGGTTGCTCAAGGAAATTGCCGACGAAATGAAGACTCTGGAAGACCATGGATCACAAATGCGAGGCCAGATAGGATGATTTTTGGCCAGGCCCGAAACGCACCAACGGTACCACTGCCGACTATTCAACGCAATTACAGCCACATCTCTACCCTCCCGTGGTACCGTCCACCATCTTACGGTGATTGTCTGAGGCGAGGTTACGCTCACAGAGGTTGTCTGAGGCAGGGTTCCGCTCACGTTCAGGTCCCGCAACATCGGTTGAGTCGTCTGGAGTGGTGTCGCACCCGATCATCATGGCTGCCATCAGACTGGCAACGTGTAGTGTTCAGCGACGAATCCTGCTTCACTCTTGAAGCAGATGACCACGGTGCTCGTGTCTGGAGAGGACGGGGCCAGCGGTCCCAATCAGCCTTTGTTTCACAAAGACATACAGCCATAACCTCTGGTTTGATGGTGTGGGGCGCTATTTCTCATGACACCAGGTCATCTTTAGTCATCCTCCGTACATCTTTAACAGCTCAACGATATGTTCAGTCGGTTGCATTATCCTTTGTCGTACGTCATCCTGGGGCCATTTGTCAACAAGATAATGCCAAGCCATATATCTCTCACATATATTTGGACTGTCTCCGTGCGGTTGATACTCTTCCTTGGCCAGCAAGGTCACAAGACCTTTCACCAATCGATCATTTCTGAGACATAGTAGGCCGCCGGATTCGGGCACACAAAATATCGCAGATCTGGAGTGACAACTCATGAATGCATGGCAGAGTGTGTGGCAGGATTACATTAGGAACCTCTAACTCTCCTTGTCTCGACGAATTCAAGCATGCATTCCAGCCAGGGGCGGTTCGACCAACTGCTAATTTGAACACTCAATGGGTGATTGTGAGCGTGAACAGGTACTATGACCTTGATTTTTCAATCATTTTATTATCTGCGTATGAGTTTTACACATATTCAATTTCACCAAAAGCAACCACTTCCTTCATGGTGCTTCGATTTTTTTTTTTTTTTTTTTTTTTTTTTTTTTTTTTTTTTTTTCAAAAGAGTGTAATAGTACTTCGAAAAAGTCGCACACAGTGAAATCCGACAATTATTTAAACTTTCTGAAAAACAGAGTAACTACTATTTTCTAAGAAATAACAAGCGTACAACTGCATTAAAATTCATAACTTGAATGAATAATTCGTGTTTTTCAGTTATCCGTGACCTGCTTCTTCGGCATTAGCCCAGATAATCGAGAGCATATAGCATATACACTTCGAGAGTTACGTAATGTGAGCATATTAAGACGCCGGTCTTGCTCTGGTACTCTTCTCTTTAGCTGCATTCCACTCCTCTTTAAGAGACTTGATGGTCTTTGTCATGTTTTGCTGAAGTTTGAAAGTTGTGTCACCATTTCCGTTAATTGCTCCTCAGAGGTCTCGTCACCAGCCATGGTGACCTCTTGTCATGGGTTCGTGATGGATTGAATGCACACAGAACCGATGACAGTTTGATAAAATTTATTCCCCCCCCCAAAAAAAAACAATATCTAGTTGTAGAAGATTTTACAAATGTACTGGTTCAGCCCTTCCCAGTGCGACAGTGGCCTATCTGTAGTCAGCACTTTAAACTACTAAGATCGTTAAACACAAAACAATGTTAAAAATGCTGAAATGCGTAGTCTTTGCACTAAATTCAATTCTGAACTATAATGAAGTGATGCTGTCTTTGTATATAGCGTTTTTTGTATGTGGTTTTGCCTAGTCCGCCGAAAGATTTGCAGTACCTCCGATTTCTAGAAACTGCTGGAAGGCATACCCAGTTACATTTACTTAGGAAACAATCACAATTATAGGAGGCGGACCAAACGTTTTGGTCCCCAAAGTTCGACGACATTAGGGTGAACGTATTAGTATCGCCAAATCATCGCCAGCTTGGAGTTATCTCGTCATTTTGGGGAGACAGCATTTCACCTCCATATCAAATGGACTTGCCCCTGTAAGCATATTTTCTGACGAAGGTTCATACTCTTGAGTTTGTGGGGTTTTATTTTATTCTCTTAACTGCTAATCTGATTTTTAAAATAGCTCTTGCTTTGAACTGTCCTTTCCGAACGCACGCGTTCTTTGTAGAATGAGATTTCAGTTTCGTGCGTTATGCAAATTAGGATAGAATGCTGCTGCTTAAGCTTATTTCTGAGTAACCTCAGATAGAGCGTGTTCAACCTTTCGTTCACGTTGCTACGCTACCAGAAAAAGTGTATCTCTGTAAGTGAAGCGTTCTTTTGATGAAATGGACTTCAGTTACTACGACGACATTATTAACTCCGTCACTCCAAAACAGTGTATGAATAAAAGGACTTTTCGTGCAAGAGTGCACGTTTAAAAGATGAGATACTCGAGGTACCCCAGGAGGACTGGATGAGTCGGCATTATTAAGGTTCACAAAATCGTGATTAAGTGAGCAATTGCTAGTTATTGGAGCGAATGTGTCGTCTTTTTACTACACTGCTACTTTCGTGTTTTTTCCCTTGTATTTTTTCTTCCTTACCTGATTATTGTTGTAAATAGTTTGTATCAACACTTCGTAATATCTTTGTGCTGTGTATAGTGTTTACTTTGTGTAAAATCCTTGGTATTATTTTCTCTTGTATTTTACACATTATATTGATACATTTTCGTTCTTAATTCCACTTGCTGCGGTTCTGTTTAATGTTTCTTGTCATGTTTTTTTTTTTTTTTTTTTTTTTTTTTTTTTTTTTTTTCCCCACTTCTCGAGAGCCTTCCGGTTCTTCGATATGCCTTCCAGAAGGCGTGCTCTTTCTATTTCCTAGTTTGTGATGATATTTCTTACATGAGACATTGGTCTCCTTCTTTTCCATCCGTAGGGAAATTCCAGTTTATGTATAATTAATAAAGCAAAAAAAAAAAAAAAAAAAAAAAAAAAAAAAAAAAAAAAAAAAAAAAAAAAAACAATTTAAAAAAAAAAAAAAAAAAAAAAAAAAAAAAAAAAAAAAAAAAAAAAAAAAAAAATTATCTTGGAGATCCCGATACGCTGTATACACTTTTCTGCACATGGCGTTGAGCTAATTTCTGCTGAGAACTGCCATTGAGAGGAGTCTTTGTTAATGATGTGTCGATGTCATTAGGCATTATTAAGGCTTATGTGATTACGGCAAAGCCTCGATGGCTACCTGCTTAAGGTGAGGGATGCCTTCATGGAGGACGTCTTAAGGGAAACTGGCGGCTATGCACATTACACATGGGGAAACCACGAATACCTCTATACAGCCAGCCCCCATTCGCGAGATTCGAACTTCGGTGCGAAATACCAGTGTTTAGCAACTTTACCGCTCGGCCGTTGCTGTAATAGAACAAACCGTCTGCCCGGTTGTTCGTTATATATTAGTCGCATATACGCTTATATAGGAAAATGCTTTCTTCCTTAGTGCCGCAGATGTGTGCTTGCTTGAATTACACAAAATACCACATGGTTGTTTGTTTAAAAGACGAAAGCCCCCGTTGAAGGATTTCCGTGGAAATCTGATCGTGGTTTAGCTATCGCAAGAGATTTAAATATAATTCTAAGGAAAAAGCTGTGAAATTTTATTTTTTGCTGGAATTATTTTTAAATGAAAGAGTTTCAGAGTGTCATAAAAATTCTTAAGCAAACAATAATCAGAAAAAAAAAGAACTTTTAAACCTCAGAAAATTATCCTGGAAATTAAATCGAAATGCACTGATTCTTGTTTGCTTCCGTGTATCCAAATCTTCGACGTATTATTTTAACTAATTATTGAGTCAGATCGTCTTTTTATTGTTTTCAAAATCTATAGATTTTCATTTGTGCATTGTTTTGTTGTATATTTAAAATATATGCATTTAATTTTTATTACTTATTTGAGTTGTTAATCTTTGTGGAAAAGAATAGCAAATATTATTTTAATGTTAAAAAAAAAAACATTAAAAAACTGCACTTTCGTGGGAAAAATAAAATGGACACTTATAATTTTTTCCTATTTTATTAAATTTTAGACTTGAGAAATTGAATCCTAATTACAAATAACGAATCAAGGGCAATTTTATAAACTTCTTTCTTATGCATATCTCCATGAAACAGATCACATATTTCCATCACTCTTTAAGTTGTAGGCGTTTTTCCAGAAATGATGGTAGTTCGAGGTGAATCGCATCTTTTTCTTTATTTCTGATCTTTTCTCTAATAGTTATTGTGCACAGGTTTTCTAGCGTAAGACACTGCTTCGATTCTGAGATGATATATGCTAATAGCTTTTCACTCTTCTCATTCAATTCTTGCGAATTTCTCCACCTTTCGACACTAGTTTCCCAATCGTGGGTTCGTCAACTGGCATCGGAAATTATCAGCAAATCGACCAGTCTCTGGCTTCCGTCTTTACAAGCATAGTGCCGAGTCAAGCCTGTCAATGTTACTTCCAGAAATAATAAGTTTTAGAACTAACTCTTCCTGCTTTGTCTGAACTGCAAAATGCAGAGCAGATTCACCGAATATATTAACAGCATTAACATTACAGCCATGACCTATCAACAGCATACACAAATCTCTAAATGAATAACTTTCGTTTGCAGCTGAATTAGCTGCCCGTGCTGTTTCGGAAGCCGCTTCTTTTACAGCTCTCATTAGTGCTGTTCCCTCAATACCGTAGGAATGGTTAATCTGTGAAAGAACGAGAAAATAAATTTTCACATAAATTAAAATATTTGAATAGAAAGAGATATAAAAAGGAGCCAAACATTTAATGAACCAAAAATTCAAACATACACACAAAACGTGGAGGCAGGCAGAAGGAAAGATAAATTTTCTTTAGCTTGAATCTGAGATATTTAGAAACACAGTACAGAAGGAATATCCCATCTATTGAATTTAACAAAATACTGAGACAATATTTTCTGTACTCATCATTATGAACATGATCTCTATAAAAATTCTTTTGGATTATGATATATCTATGTGTGTGTGTGTGTGCGTAAGAAAAAGTATAAAAATGAAAATTTTAATTTTAACTAGCAATAGGCACTTAATTCTTGCTCTCTATTGTAAAAATAGTAGTGCCTTTTTCTGGAATGCGTCATTTCTAGATTAGTCCATGTCATGAGACTTGCATAACGCTAATTACATTCTAATACGGAACGTAACCAGAAACTTTCTCTTAAAAAGCTGCCATATTGGATAACTGTGTAATTTTGTGTCTACTTCTGTTCTCGCTAAGACGCTGATTGGCTGTTCTCTTTCCATCGCAACAATATCAGAAATATAAATATTCTTAAATGGGCCCGGATTGTGGCAGAAAATGTTAATTGAAATGGAGATGAATGGCACGTTGAAAAACGACTTTTAATTTTTGTTATTTATTTATTTCATATTTTACATAAATTTAAAAATTCCTTTATTAACAGACTCAGTGACTGCATATATCATTATCTGAACCTTAATCAGAATTTCATCCTACCATTTCATTATCTTACTACTTGCTCTTCTTTCGTTATTACATGATGCCAGGAAACAATTATAGCCTCAATTAGTTCCCTTTTATTTGATGGGCGCCTTATTCGGACAAGTTTTCAAACGGTGCCACAAATTTTCGATAGGATTGAGGTCAGGACTGTTTCCTGGCTATGAGAACAATTTAATGCTCTTCGTACGAAACCACTCTTTCGATATTTTGGCCGTGTGGCAAGGAGCCGAATCCTGCTGAAAAATAAACGATGCATTGTTGGGAAAGAGATCTCTGATGGAAGGTAGAAGATTTGGTTCTAGAATAGTGTCACTGTATTTTCTGGCGTTCAGTGTCCCATCGATGACATGAAGGCGACCAATACCATCTGCTGACATGCACGACTAAATCATAACACTAACTGGGTTCTTCACAGCTGCTTGAATGCAGTCAGGATGTAGCTCTTCTCCTATTCTACGTCTTACATATTTTCGCCCATCACTACCGAATAACGATATCTTAGTTTCATCACTCCATATAACTTATGACCACTGATCATCTGTCCAATGAATGTGTTCCTTTGCCCACTGTAGTCTTTTTTTTCGTTGCAGAAAATTAAGATAAGGCTTTTTTCGTGGAATTCTACCTCTCAGTCCAACATCTGTTAATGTTCTCCTGATTGTTCTTGAACTGACAGAAACACCAGCATCATTCAGATCACTTCTGATGGCCGCTGATGACATTTTTCTATCTTGAAGAGATAGACTTTTTATTCTTCTGTCATCAAGAGATGTGGTGCACCTTTTTTGGCCTTTTCCTTCTTTGTTTTTTATTGAATTTGTCTCCTGATATCGTAAACAAAACTTTCGGACTCCAGATGTAAACACTGAACCACCCACCTGTCTTGCAATTTCAGCATAGGAAAAACCACTTTCTCGTAACACAATAATATTACATCTCTTTCTAGGTGTCCAATCTACTCTTTTATTTGATGTCATTGCTTCTTGACTAAATATTAAAAATTTTTACAAAAATTCCTACTTGTAATTGCAGTGTATAAGAAACAGGTACTCCTTCTAGAGAACAAAGCAAAATAATGAATTGTTTCAAGTGTAAAACATGATGTGTCAGCTTCTACTGGCAGTTACTAACATTTGATTGGTTCTCAGAACAAGAACAGTGATTGGCCAGGAAAGCTAGACATTACAAACCACTTCATAACTGTGTTTTTCACTTATATTAAAGTACAAATAACTTTTTTTGTATTGCAAATAATTGAATTTTGTGTTTTTTATTGAATTCAGTAATAAATTCTCTTTAAAATGATATATACAAGTTTGCATTTTGCGAAACGTAACATTTTCTATAAGCATACAAAGTTCAAAAACAAAAAAAATTCCAAAAGTGTCCACAATTTTGGCCACCACTGTATACAATAAATCCTGTGTTTGGCGTATTTGGCCTTTAGAGCGCAAGACCTAAGACCTAAGCTTTGCGCCATAAATCTACCACTATCACTACCCTAAGACGAACAGTGTTTTAAAGTTATCGAATTTTGAGTGGTCGCTTTAAATTGCATTGCTTATATTTACTTTTAGAAATAGACATTTCTTATTAGCACTTTAAAAATATTATTTAATTTTTCATATACATTTTATTCGGAAATTTTGTAGTTACTTATTGAAGTTACAGTGACCAACATCCTAAGACAATTTTCAATGTTTTTTTTCGGCGTTTTTTAATTTTCAGAATATCTTAATTTATGCGCACCAGAAATCTGCAGCGAAGTAAAATTAGTATTTCTAAGTGAGATTTATTTTGTGGTGTTGTATTTTTTGTATTTCTCTTTGTCCTCGGAATTCTTTGCCTAGGAAACTTTGAAGGGACTAATTTTCTTGCAAATTTTTAATTAAAAATAAAAATTTAATGAAATAAACACTTAATCGAATTTTCTTTGTATAGTTTTCAGGTATAAAAACTGCACATATTTTACATCGATTTTGTTTTCAGTGACTGAAACGTTTCAAAAACAATGTTCTTGTATTTAAATGACAAATTGTCTGGAATAAGACAATGTAACTTTTTTATGTATTATTTTAAATGCTTTTGAAACATATTATTTTCAATATCAATCATAACTAAATTTTAAAATCCTGGTTCGCTTCGTGCATGATTATTTTTTAATTAAAGTAACCAGAAAGAATATTTTTTCAATAAAATGAAAGTATTTAAAGCTTCTACTACATTAAACTATTGGAAAAAGATATCTTTAAAGAAGGCAGGTTAATTTTCATAGTTTACGTTTTAAATCTAACAAAAGTACCTTTTTGTTTTAATAATTTTACTAATCTTATAGTTTTTTTATCTGTAATTAACTGTAGTTTTAGTTTCTCAGGTCATAATAATAAACAAAGATATACTGTGAATTAGCTAAATCAATGAGAGGTGTGTCAGTAGGTAAATTTAAAATTCAGATTATCCATGTACACCACTGTAAACAACAAATGTACTAATTGCTTGATTAATCTTTACCTCAAGGTTAAACATTTCTTTATCTTACGCTTCACAGAGAGGGGAAAAAAAAGACTTCTCTATCTACCTCAAACAGAGCATGTTCAACATTTCGGCAATGTTGTTACCCTACCAGAAAAAGCATATCTCCACAAGTGAAGTGTTCTTTTGATGAAATGGACTTCAGTTATTACGACGACATAATTAACTCTGTAACTCCAAAACAGTGTATGAATAAAAGGACTTTTCTTGCAAGAGTGCACATTTAGAAGATGAGATACTCGAGGTACCCCAGGAAGACGGGATGAGTCGGGATTACAAAGGTTCACAAAATCGTGATTAAGTGAGCAATTACTAGTCATTGGAACAGATATGTTGTCTTTTCATCATCGTGTGAGTAAAAATAATAACGTTAAGAATAATTTCAACTGTGCATATTCTCTTGAGTAACTATGACTCATGCGACGTAGTATAATTTCATGAAAAAATTTTCAAACTCTTATTTTATATATTCGAAAGCCAAACAATCATACCTTTATAGCCAACAATCAGTTGCTGGTATTTTGTGCAAACGCACCAAGTGTTCTTCAACAAACTTTTAAAAGCCCCTGAGGTGGTTTCAACCACATGTCAAATCGTTTTGAATCATATCAGACCCATAACCTTTTAGATTGAAACAGTGAAATAATGGAGATTATCCAAATTACGCTACTTCAAAATGCTTTGCCCCAAGAGATAAGGAAACTATGATCAAAATGCCTTGCTTTTGCCAACAACGCTTATTACAAGAATTTACTCCTGAAATTCTACAAGAAATGTGAATTCTATTATAGTAATTGACAATGTTCTAGACTTTGTTTTTATACATTGCAGTTAATTATATAATGCTGTTACTTGTATTTTCATAATTGCAAGCTCATCCTCATCAACAGCCATGTGATTGTGAATTCGTACCTAAAAAAGGAATACAGAATTTAATGAATCAAATGCGGTCTAGTGCTGTTAATGTTACTCATTTAGCAAATTTCTCATCCTAAATCGACTTATTATAGATTACTTATTCCTCTCATGACTATGACAGCCAGACATTTCGCCTTCAGGTGACGGTGGAAATGCACTTGAGGCAAGCACCTGGGCTTCCAATCTCAGATGCCATGAGCGTCGCCTGCTTGCTACAGTTTAGCGTCAACAGCTACTTCTCATTAGTAGAGGCTACCGAACAACATCGACGGCAGCCCTACAAGTCATCACTGGTATTCCGCCTCTTGACCTGGTCGCTGAGCATGAAGCCACGATCTCACTTACTCTCCGGCTCCACCAATATTCCCGGCTCTGGAACACTGCCTACTTCCCAGACCAGAGCACGGATCAGGTCACACACCCATTACACTTCGACCTAGATAATAATATCATTCTCTCCTACGTCCCTCTTAAGGAGGAAAAGCTTATCATCTATACTGATGGTTCACGTATGGACACTGGCACGGGCTGTGGCCTCTGCATAATGGTTAACAACAACTGCATATATACATGGCGACGCAGGCTCCATGCCAATAATTCCATCTTCCAAGCTGAGCTGGTGGCCATTAAGATGGCAATTCTCCTCTCCTACCATTTCGCGAATCGCATCACCATATGCAGCGACTCGCAATCTAGCCTACAAGCGCTACGAGGTACTACCTGCAGAAGCCCCCTAGTGAAAGAGATCCAGAGACTCCTTCTTCATCTGCCACTGACTGTGCGACCGATTCTTCTCTGGGTCCCGGCCCACACTGGGATCACGGGAAATGAAATGGCTGACAGACTAGCAAGGCAAGCTGCGGGAGGCACGTCACTCCCTGAAAACCCACTGCCCTTCCCTAGCTCTTTTCTCAAAAAACAAACGATGGATCAACTTATGGTCCAATGGCAGACGCGTTGGAATACTGGTGACACAGCCCGCCGAACTTACACTTTTCTACGGAAAGTGGGCACATCCCTGCGTACCTCGTCATACACACTCACAGTCTTCCTCACCGGACATGGGCCATTTCTCACGTACCTCACGCGCTTAAAGATCATAGATGATGACATGTGCTCCTGTGGCCAACCTGGCTCACCAGACCACTACGTATTTGACTGCCCAGCCACCATTCAGTATCACCTCTAAAGGCCCTCAGAGCAATTTTGGCCCGAATGACAAAAGTGATTATGCAGCGACCGATACCCCATCGACAGCTCCAGAATGTCAATGATTACTGCATCCACAACTGCACTTCTTAACGCATAACTTGCATTGGCCACTCCCTTCTTCTCCATTTTAGATTCCCCCATTGTACTCACCCATTTTACACTCCCCATTGTACTCACTATAATCGTCTTCTATGTTATCATTTATTGTATATATTCTATGCATTACTAATTGCATTGTTTATGGCACTTACTGAATGTACTTAATCACTATGTTTAGCACCAGCATAATCGTCCTCTATGTCATTAATAATCGTCATCTATGTTAAGTCACTATAATAGTCATTATTGTAAATATGCTATGAATTACTAATTGCATTGTTTATGGTACTTACTGAATGTACTCAATCACTATGTTTAATTTATAATATTTTTCATACTTACTCATTCACTTTTATTAATACTAATCATGCATAGACTGTACTGATTGTAATGCATTCCGTTTGCACCACCCACTGTATTCTATTCAGTTACTTAATGCAGCATTCTATACAACCTCTCGTTTTACAACAAAGTAGTGTACTCACCACTATATGTAATTTTTATCTGATTGTACTGCCGCTCGTACTTAAATACCCTCAGTTTTTATACATTCCTCACAATGACAGCATTCATATTTTATGTTGGTACCACATACTTTATTATATGTATTTACTTACTGCTAATTTATATTTAACTTTCTATTGATTTTACTGTAAGCACAACCAGCTATGTACAGTTTGTTTTGAATTTTGTATTTGCTCTGCACCCGATTACGTATGGCACCATACTATTTGTGATTACTTACCACTAATAAATTTAACTAATTACTGATTGTACTGTGAGCACAAAGAGCTATGTATAGGTTGTTTCAAATATTGTGTATACTCCCTGCATTTGATTACACACGGTACTTTACCGTATGTAATTATTTACCACTAATATTTACAACTATTTTCCGACTGTACTGTATGCACAAATATCCATGTATAGTTTGTTTCGAATATTGTATTTACTCTCTGCATTTAATTTTACAAGGCACTTTACTATACGTAATTTTTACCACTTATTTATATAACCTTCTGCTGATTGTACTTTAAGCACAAATAGCCATGTGCAGATTATTTCGAATATTGTACTTACTCTCTGCATTTGATTACACATGGCACTTTATGTAATTATTTACCACTAATATACACTGATTGTACTGTAAGCATGACTAACTATGCACAGATTGTATCGAATACTGTATTTACTCACTGTACTTAATTACACACGACACTTAACTCCATGTAAATATTTACCACTCATTTATATAACCATCTGCTGATTGTACTGTAAGCACAAATAGATATGTATATATTATTTTTGAATATTATATTTACTTTCTGCAACTGATACACATGGTACTTCATGTAATTATCTACCACTAATGCGTATAACCATTTACTGACTGTACTGTATGCACAAAAACCTATGTACAGATTGTTTTGAATATTGTATGTACTCTCTGCATCGGATTATACACGGCACTTCTCTGTATGTAACTACTCACTACTAATATACTACCATTTATGGATTGTACTGTAAGCACAAATAGCAATATACAGTTTTGTATCGAATATTGTACACCTGCTTGTACACGGTACTATACTATATGTAATTTTGTAATTACTCTCTACAATTGTTTGCACACAGTACTTTACTATATGTAATTACTTACCACTAATATTTATCACTACTTTCTGATTATAATGTATGCACAAATAGCTTTACTTATCCACTACTATTATACCTAATCAAGTACTTATGTTTAATGATATACCATTACATTATGCAATCATGTTCTGTAACTTCTGAATGCACATTGTAGCACGAAAGTGCAAAGACACTTATGTTATACAAAAATTGTGACTCTGTAACATCTTAAATATTTTTTTATGCGCTTCCGGGCTGCGTAATGGATTTCTGTTTCCGCTGTATGGGCATTATTCTGATAGGTATAACCTTAGGTCGGAAGCCCTTACAGCGGTGATCGGTGGAAATACACTCTACTTCACACTACCGTATTTGGCCGTAGAACATAAGCCAAAGATATTGATTAAAACTCTAAGTATTTATATACTAGAAACAAAGAAATGATCTTCGATCTGCCTCACCTGTTACAATCAAAGACACCTAATTTAATTGGGAAAGGTTTAGTAATAATTATGAACGAATACGTTTCCCTATGAATACCAAAATACTTGTACACAGGGATTATGAATTAAAAGTTCCAAACACAGAAATGCATAGAAAGCTCACTGCTTTACTAAACATAAGGTTTATGAGATACCACTTGTTTGTTGTCCCAGAAAAAGAGAATCTTGAATTTGTCTTCAGGAGTTTGTCAAATGAAGCATAAGTTAAGGGTATTGCGAATGACCTCCGCAATAAAGGCTACGCTAACTCTAAATTCGTACAATTGATTATTATTATTTACATGTTTCACTCTAAGGCATTACACGGAAGGTACAGACGGCACAGTAGAGGATGTTCTAGGGAAAATTGGCTCGCATTAACACGCTACAAATATAAAAAAAACACGAAGAGCAGCTCTGTACAGTGATACCGCTGCCGTCTCCAATCACATGCAAGAATGCATGACCTTAAATGTATGAAGTGTGTGGAGAAACACATTTCATATGAATGCATTAAACCACACTCTCACAAGCCTGATGCACCAACTTTAATTTTGAATATCACTTTTATAGAAGATGTTAAAAATTGAGTCACGAACTGAAATCCCTCCTGTCAAAATATAATCTGAGAGAATTATTAAATTATTACTAGCAAATCTTATGCCTCAGTGGTAGCTAGATCCACAAGTACCCTCTATGAAGTCAAACAAATTTTCAGCGACTCATAAAGTCTTAGGTTGACTTTCTGTGGCAATTGGCCTATGTCAGTTCCACACCATTAATTGCAACAAAACATATTCTTCAGTCATACCCACCCAACAGCACACTACATGACTCGAACACTTGCACTCTCATCAGAATGTTGGTTTGGAACAATAATGGTTTAGCGATGGGTAGTATGAATTTAGGAAATTTGTTCTTGATAATGACAGATATTTGTCTAATTTCTGAGATGCATGCTCTATCGAAAGATAATCTCATATCAAATGATAGATCTTATATCACTGCCAAATTTCTCTCTAGGCATTGGCCACTGGCCTTATCAGTGACTCTTAGCCAACTGATAGTTCTTACCCGACAGGTCATTTAGCTGAAAAGATATTTAACCGACAGTCGGTTTGCTGACGATATATTTAGTCAGCAGTACTTTTGCTGACAATGCCTGCATTTAGACAAGAGTATGCCACAAGGTTATAGTAAATTTTGTCCTTATGTATACAACAAATATTTAATATTTCTATCAATCGCAAACTTGCTCGAATTCTACATTACTTCACTTTTTAACTTTTTTCTTTTCTTTTCCTGCTGTTATTAAAAATTCTATTCTTAAGCATCCCATCTCTGTGTTTCATTCTTGTGGTATAACATATCGGACTGAAATAGCTTTAAGATATCTCCTCAGGGATCATGAATCGGATTTCCAAAAAGGAGAAATAATTAAATTTTTCAGAGTTAATCATTGAACTACAGTTACTTACGTTTTCGCTTTGTATTTGCATTAATTATCCACAAAGATTCTTATTTAGTAACACGGGGTTCTCTGAATATTTTCATATTAATAATACTATTTCTTCTTTATTTACCGACATCAATTTTCTAATCTCTCTCTTCCTATCTCTTTCAAAATTCTATCTCTTACCTTTTCACGTTTAGTTACTATTTCGCTCAACAGATCACGCAACATTCTGTTCCATATAAACTCACCTCGCTCCTCCCCAGTACAGAAATTTAATTTTCCTGAGTGTCCCTGTTCAGAGTGTATGTTTTACATAAACGACAACTACTGCTTCCAAATGAAAACTGCATTTGTTGGCTATTTCAACAAATAAAATGTTACAAAATGAGAAGAAAGTTCTAATTTCAACAATGAAATAAAAATTATTGTCATTGTTGAATTAAACATTTTGTGATGAAAAAATTTGCGGTGCAGGCAACTGTATTTTGTTGTTAAAGATAATAAAGAAAGAGGATTTTTAAGATTCTAGTTACCGACAGGAAATGCTTCAGATTAATTGTGACCTGTCTAAGAGGCAAATCACGTCGTCTGAAATCAAAATAGGTGACAACACTAAAATATATGCTCCTTTCGCCTCGAAAGAAGGGTTAAGACATTAAACTTAAGAACAAAGTAGATCGTTGTATGCACTAAAACCTAAGAAGTCGCCTCATTCCATTATTTCTATGCTAAGTAAAGCAAATCATAGTCACCTTTGTAAGATTAAAAGTCTTGGAATTAAATGCGCGATTTTGTAACATGCATTTTTATTGACCACGCCTCTCACTTAAAATACATTTTTAGGTTAATGTTTATAGAAAAAAACTGTTGTCAGAATCTTTCTCGAAATACGAAGAGTGAAAATTTAGTGTTCGCAAAAATTAACGCAAAATTTAAACATAAAACAAGACAGATAGAATAAAAGGCGTGTGATTCATGTTCAATGTGCCAAATCTATCGCTTCATATTTCTCTCATTCTTTGTTTAATTCTTTTGAGACCGAGCTAAGTCTATTAAAGTAATCTATTATCTTGTGATCCCGATATGCTGCAAACACTTTTCTGCACATGGCGTTGAGCTAATTTCGGCTGAGCACTGCCATTGAGAGGAGTCTTTGTTAATGATAATGTATCGATGTCATTAGGCATTATTAGCGCTTATGTGATTACAGCAAACCCTCGATGGCTACCTGCTTAAGGTGAGGGATGCCTTCGGGGAGGACGACCTAAGGGAAACTGGCGGCTATGTGCATTACACATGGGGAAACCACGAATACCTTTATACAGCCAGCCCCCCCACTCGCGAGATTCGAACCTCGGTACAAACTACCAGCGTATAGCAACTTCACCGTTCGCCCGTTGCTGTGACCTGTCCGGTTGTTCGTTATATTTTAGTCGTATATACGCTTATATAAGAAAATTTTTTGTTCCTTAGTGCCGCAGATGTTTGCTTGCTTG